GTGGGGTCCGTGGGCCAAAGTTGGCACACCAAGCCATTTGAGTTGGCCTGCCTAGAGCTGTCCTAGTTACTTTACTAACATTTCTTTTGAAGACATGCTGAGTTGTGTTGCTGTTGGACTTGCACTTTTTGACATTTTGCTTTACATATAATTATAATGAAATGGTAAAATTTAGATATTTGTTTCAATTCCATTTAATTTTTTTTTTTATATTTTGTATTCTGTAATGTTCTTTATAAAGGAACAGGTATAAAAATAAAAGGACTTTACTTAAATAAGTATTTGCATTTCATGTATTATATTATTGCATTTGGCCTGCAGCCCTCTGATAGATTTTAATTTTGGCTTTCTCAGGGAAAATGTTTGGGCACCCCTGATATACAGTATGTGGTGTTTCACCCTTCAGTTAAGTTTTCTTGTGTTTTTTTTTTGTTCAGTTTAAAATAAATGGAATGACAGAAAAGGCATGGACAAAACGAACCAAATCCTCTGAATCCGCAAAAACCGCATCCTTCACAAAAGCTTAAAAAACAGGATAAGCGTCTAAACGTTAGACAAAAGCTGAAATTCACATATAAGAGATGCTGTAGAGATAGTTCATCATTGTTTGATGGAACCCCATTGTCTTACACTAAAATCCCCAAAGGCTGACAGAAAAACGAAGCAGCCAGCGTCCCTGCTCACATCCATGCTACATGAATAAAATTATGACTGCAGTGGTGTGTGGTGGCTTTTTGTCTGCGGCAACACTATCGGGTAGGTAATTACAGCGTCTCCGTGTTTCCTGAGATGCCTTGTTTGGGGAAAGTCTTATTACAGGTTTGTTTAATCTTGTCAAGTCAGCAGACGGGCCAAACATCTGTTTGATGTGATTTGTCGAACCATCCCATTTTGTGTTCGACCAAAGGCGTTCCCACAGTTAAGTAGCATGCTAGTGTGACATCCTGAGTCATTGTCTTTCCTGCCTCTGAGCAGGCAGTGGTTAAATTTAATGGGCTGTATCCCAGATCTGCTGGGGCTCTAAAAGCGCTACCTGGTATCTGATCAGTGCCACAGGCCCTCCAGCTCTTGGGTAATTTGGGGAATCGGTTGGTATGTTGGGGAGAGTTGAGAAAGAGCAGGGGAAAGGGATTACACATCTGGTTGGGTTGCTTCTATCCTGGAAACTTTATCTGCCTTAATGCCCTCCGTTCACCTAGGGCAAGGCCAGCAGCTGTCCTCGTTTCTCTTCAGCCTGAATGTCAGAGTAGCAGCAACCTGTGGGAAAGAAGCCTGTTGCAAACTCTTAACCTGAGACCTGTACTGGGTTTATTGGGGGCCAATAATGGAAGGGTTGTGCGGTTTGGGTCAACACCTCTCAGGCCAAGTAAATGCATTCAGAGGAAAACAGAAAGGGGAAGTTAAGAGTCAAAAGGGTTGAAAACTGCTGCTGTGTGGTCTTGGTTTTTACATGAAATGTAGTCGTAGGAAGTACTTAAGGGTTGTGATGTGTAAACAGGACTCGTGCTGGTGAGAGAAAAGATAAAGCAGCATGGAGTTGTTCATTTTCAGGAATGTCTCCACACCGGTAGAACAATAAAACAGAATCTTGAATAAGGAAGGAAGAAGGTGCAGAGCAACTGAGCAATTACATCTAAATTCAGAGTTAAACTGGTTCGTCTTTCTCCTTTAATGAATGTGAGCCAAAAATACACCATGGAAAAGCAAACCCTTTAAGGTTAGCTCAGGGTAAATTGTAGAATGACTGATGTAAACTTGGCAGAAACCCATCGATCGGATATACACGTACAAGTTTTTGGCACCGTGTGTCAGAGTGTTTTATTAATATTTGCTCTCATCACAGGTCCATGTTGAAGCTATTTCACTTCATTTCTCTTTTTGCCGCTGCTACAAAGGTTCATGGCGAGCTTTCATGCTAGGAAAATATCTCTCGGGCTCGAGTGGAATAGAAAATATGGTTTCCCAGAGTATTTTACTTTCAATCGAGCGTGCCTAAAAGTGTCTCAGCCAGCGAGGGGCCTCATGCATTTTAAATCACTGTGACCTTCCCTTGATTTAGGTCAGCTAGCTGCATCAGGCCCGGCGCTCCACATCAGAAGTACATCAAACACTGAATGTAGAAACAGTTAGACGCCGGTTTTTGCCTTGACTGGTTAGGGGGAAGGCTTGCTGACGAGGGAAGGTAAATGAGGTGTGATTTGAGGAAACAACCTTTGGGTGACTTTTCCTCACTCTGTCTGCACACTAAGGAGATGCAGTCGAGAAATCATGCACATCTTTCTCCCTGTCCCCTCTTCCATAAGTGGTTACGGCTGAGCTTGTTTCCATCAGCCTCTGGGCATGGACTGCCTGTAATGATACTCTCCATCAACCCAGAAAGTCAGTCAGCTCAGTGGCTCATCTCTCGTGCTGCTGCCGTTTCCCTGGTTTTCATCACAGTTAGTGTAACGGACAAAGACAAACTTGAGTCTCTAAGGGCTGCGAAGGGTTCATTCCACAAGCAGAGCTTTCTCTCTCCACAGCACACCTCCTTTCCATAATAAGGCCACAGCATCTGACTACATTTGTCCTCAGAGTTTAATAAAGATCAGCTCTGACAGGCTGTAAACCAACACAACCATCCACAAGCCTCCAGGCAAAGGCCACAACTCCAGCCTACCTCCTCCCACCTCTCAGCCCTTTTATCTAGCAGTTTAACGCTCTCCATGGGTAGACCTGGAACTGAAAACCTAAACCCACTTGAACAATGATGAAGACCTGCTCTATAGTTCCACACCTCTCAAAGCGGGTTGTTTTGATGTTGTGCATTACATACTTCTCCAAAGCAGTCTACACACTTGCACCTGTCAGTAATAGATCAGATGGATAATAAAAGAAACAATATGGCTTTGGGGCTAGTGCACTCATGCATCATGTGTTTCGCTTTATGCATAAGCTCTCAAGCAGTTAGCTCGTATACGATATATGAAAACATGGAAGGTAAAGTGTTTAAGCTTTTAACTGTAACGACTCTTCAGCCGACTTTAATGTGCTTTCTTCAGATATTTTTATAACCAGATCTGGATTTGTTGACTGTCGTGAAATATGTCCCTCTCTTGATGCTTCTGTTCCTCCACCTTCGCTCCTCTGCGGCCTTCAGTTTGATCACATCATTTTCCTCAGCATCATCATCCTCATCATCTGCGCCATCATCCTCGTCCGCCTTGTGGCCCTGACCCTTTATTCACTTTTGAGGGGGGGCGTAAAGCTTACAGACAGCTTTACAGGGGAATCCCACACTCCAACCTCCACAAACTGAATACCAGATGGGTTCAGCTTTGTGTTTCATTTTATTATCTCCTCTAAATCAATGCCTAACAAAGCATGAAGAGGAAAAAGGGCATTGATTTCATCTACTAGTGCCCTGGAGTAGGCAAGGAGTGATCATAGGGTGAAGGGGTGGAGTTGATCTGTTATGACTTTTCTTCAATTTCCTGCACAGGAAGCACAGACATGAAGTGAGGCCAGACTGTGAAAAGAGCAGCCAGTGGTGCTTTCCCGCCGCTAAATCTTACATTTCACTCCAATTTGTCACAGATGGTTTCACCTTCGTTCAGTGGAACTGTCTTGTTTCGTTCATGCATACCAATCTGAACGATCGTTCACAGATCCAGGATTGGTTTAGAAAGCTCTCACAGTTGCATCATGTTTACACACAAAATTCTTACATTTAAATCATCCAGTTAGGCATATAACATTCACTTGGTCCCATACTGTGTCATTCATCTGGCAGATTTATAGCTCTTATATAGAGTACTGCTTTCTGAGGATATTTGCTGTTTTCATCCAGTTCATACTGACATGGAAGGCAAGTAAGCAATACTGTCTATCATTAACTTGTGCCACTTCAGGGCAATTCCTCTTATCCATTAAAGCACATAAAAAGTTCAGCAATACTACTTTGTTATATATTGCAATATATATTATGGTATCACAAATGTAATAGTTGTTTGCAGAGAAAGGTAATCGTATTAAACTGCTTTTTTCATGGGTTGATTTAGAGCCTCAGCCTGCCTCTTTGGTGGGTTAGCTGTATTAAGTGGCACTGCATTAGAGCACTAGATTGTTGTTTTCCCTGCTGCTTCACTCCTCCTGATCACCTCAGAGGTTCTGCAGGAGCAAAGGTCTCGTAAACATTTATGTGTGGGCTGTGAGCTCCTGTCCTAAGCCATGACTCCGCTGGGCAGGAGCCTATTGTGCCCCTTTATGCCTCTTAAGAGACCAGCATGTCTCTGGGCATGTTTGTGTTTATTTCCTTGAAAAAGACAGAAAGTTATTCTTTCCACGTACTTATGATTTGAATAATTCAAGGGTGGCTCTGTGTGTCTGCAGCTTACATGCAGAGTTAGTTGTTTCTGCATTTTGTTGCACATCATATGTTTTCACACTAGGACACTTATCATATGTAAATTATACAGCTTTGGGCTCGAGTCCCCTCAGCTTTCACTTTCTTTTGTCACTCCTTCATAGCAGAGATGGACACCCCAGGGAGCCTCCTTAGAGACAAAGTGAAAGGACAAAAATCTATTGGACTCCATCCATGAAAGCAGTAATAAGCTGAAATTTTCTTGACTTCTTTGTTAAAAAATGTAAAGAAAAATATTTTTATTTTTGGAAATGATTATTAAGATTCCTGAAAATCTTTTTCAGATCATACAGAATTTTTTTTGCATGTTCTCAGAAATTCAAGAGACACTAAAATGAACATAAACCCTGTGAAACTTATTAGCAGTCTTGTCCTGCATTCAGTTGAAGTATCTAACATCCTGATGGAAAGGAAGTGGTTGAAGTTGAGAACGATGGTCCCAGAGGGCAGTAGAACCACACTGCTCGTGGACTTCTGACATAAAAGACAACTTTGCAAAGACGATTTGAGATTTGCTTCAGATCACTGTGCTTCATGCATTGCTTTTATGTTTGTCGACTTAACTAAGCTTTCCTCTGTGCTTTTTTCTCGGCAGGATCCTGGATATGCAACCTTTCTCTATGAACAGCTTCACACACCTGGGAATCCTGAACTCGACTGTTGCCATGCATGCTCCACACCTCTCCACCAGCTGAGGCAGGAGGCCCTGCAGACGCTCCATTCTCCAGTCCTCACCTTCAGCTCAGACACGACAGCCATGCCTTCAGCATCTTGTTTACCACAGCCTTCCAGACTCACCTTGTCGTCCTCCAGCGTCCACGCCAAACAGCTACTGAAAAGCCAGCCTCGCTCCCTCCTGCCTTTGAGGGAGCGGCACAAAGTGCCGGGCTGGTCTCAGAACCAATCTGCCTCTTCAGGGTCTAAGACCAGTGTTCAGGTGACAGTGGCAGGAGGACAGCTAACCGGATCGCTGAGCACTGTTACCATCCAGACGCAGCAGTACCTCGACGGAATGTGGAGCATCTCTAGAGTGAACAACTTTCTGCATCAACCCAAGCCTGTATGTCCCTATTTGCATTTTTATTTTTATGCTGAAATAATGAAAGTAATCTTTGCTTGAAGTATGATCCGTCAACTTGTAACCTAACATCTTACAATCTAACAACATAATGAGATCTTTCATGAAACCAAGTCAATAAAATGTTAATTCTCCTTCAGAGAAGTTGAAACCCTGAAAACAGCTTGTGACTTAGAGCTCTGTAGGAGTTCTTACCTCTCATTTCCCAGTGGAGTCTGACTAAACTGAGGTCAAAGGTCAGCTCATCCCTGATCTGCTGACTTTCTCCTCAAAGGCGTTTCAAATAACCACGCCTGAGCGTAACTTTTCACGTGCGTTGGCTCAGGCTTGTTAGAAAGCTGAGAGATGTAAACAGGTTTGGGGTATCCTGAGAGATGCTGCACCTCTAGATGCTCAGTGTTTTAGGAAAGTACATGTGACTGTCAATGTTAACATCTCAAAGCCCATCTAGTACTGATAAGAAGGTGTCTGGGTTTTCCAATGAGTCACTTCCTGCATTTATGGGGAACTCTGGCCTCAGACCTAACTTACAAATGCCTGTGACATTCTGCAGCTGCCATATTGTGTACAGATTAAACAACATATGCACACAACTTTGAAAGTTATGGAAGTTTGCCTTTTCAAATGCTTTAGTAACCTATGAAATGCAGGTTTTTGCACAAGATGTTTACCGTATTTTCCGTCGTACACATTGCACCGTCCTATAAGTCGCATCAGTCCAAATATGTCTAATAAAGTAGAAAAATACATAAATATGTTGCTTCGCCATATATGTTGCATCTACTATGCGTCACTGCTGACGTGTCGCGTTTGTTTCATGTCACCGCTGAGAATCCGGAAATGTGGGTCGAACACGGAAATGTGAACCGGTGTTGTGCCAAAAATAGATGGGCTGCCAAATGGTGGCCGCGGGAGCGTTCACGGGAGGACTTTAACAAGAGTAACACTTAAAAACAATTATTTGTTTGCTCAAAATTATAGTAAAGGTGTGTCTCACTCTACCTTTTGCTTAATAAATTAATTTGACGGTCAAATCAGCTGTATTTCAAACGTCAATACACGGAAACATAACCGCGCGCACAGAGGGTGACTCACTGTGCATTTCTTCCAAATTTAACAAGATAACCACCTAAAAACAATTATTTGTTAGTTCAACTTTATAGTAAAAGTGTGTCTCAGTTGAACTTTTACTTACCCTGAAGACAGTTCCCACCTGCCTGAAGACTGCCACCATCATCCCTATCCGAAAAAGCTCTAAAGTGACTGGTCTGAATGACTATCAGCCAGTGGCCCTCACCTCGATAGTCGCTAAATGCTTCGAAAAACTGATCATGACTCACATCAAAACAACCATCGACATCAACGAGGACCCTCATCAGTATGCATACCGCGAGAACCAATCAACAGAGGATGCCATATCCTCTGTGGTCCACACTGCGCTCAACCACCTGGAGCAGAAAAACTCTTATGTCTGTATGCTCTTTGTGGACTTCACATCCGCCTTCAACACCATGATCCCCCAAACCCTGATGGACAAACTATTCACACTAGGACTAAGCCCCTCCATTTGCAACTGTGTACTAGACTTCTTAACAAACAGACCACAATCAGTGAGGATCCACAACTTCTCCTCCTCCACCATAACCTTCAGCACTGGCTCTCCTCAGGGATGTGTGTTGAGCCCCCTCCTGTTTACTCTGCTCACGTATGATTGTGAAGCTATCCATCCAGGCTGTCACATTGTAAAGTTTGCAGATGATACAGCGGTGGTGGGATGCATCACAAACAATGATGAGTCCAGCTACAGGCAAGAGGTGGAACACCTGGAGAGCTGGTGCAAAGAGAATAACCTTCACATCAATGTGAAGAAGACAAAGGAGATGATTGTGGACTTCAGAAGAAACAAAAACACATCCACCCCCCTGAACATAGGAGGATCTGCAGTGGAAGTGGTCTCCATCTACAAGTACTTGGGTGTACACTTGAATGACAACCTCAGCTGGAGCAACACCACCACCAGCCTGATCAAGAAAGCTCATCAGAGACTCTACTTCCTCAGGCGGCTGAGACGAGCTGGTCTGGGAAGCTCAGTCCTCACCTCCTTATACAGGTGTGCAGTGGAGCATCCTGTGCTCCAGCATCAATGTGTGGCATGGAGGCTGCACAGCTGCAGAAAGAAAAGCTCTGCAGAGAGTGGTGAAGGCTGCACAGAAGTCTGTTGGAGTCAGCCTCCCCACCATCACAGCCATCTACACCTCCAGATGCAGGAAGAGGGCCACCTGCATCATGAAGGACCCCACTCACCCAGCACACACACTTTTTGCCCCACTCCCCTCAGGAAGGAGGTTGAGGAGCATTAAGTGTACAGTAGAACCACTAGACTGAGGAACAGCTTCTACCCTGAGGCTGTTAGACTCATGAATCTCTAACCAGAATAATCACTGTGAAAAAAAATCACATGTTGCTGCTGATCTGTTTCATGTTGATATGTTCATGTGTGCTCATCTGCTTACACAGACTCATGTTCATGTTTGTGCTGATGGTCGACGTATTTTTTTTATGCTATTAGTGCTTAGTGTATATTTAGTTGATGTTTTTCTTAGTTCATATCTTAGATGTTATCTTTGTTTTTCTTTTACATTTTATTGTTGGATGTAACTGGGACCCTGTGTACATAATTTCGCTCCACCACATGAACCACATGAGGTGCGAATGACAATAAGGAAACTCCGACTCTGACTCTCTCTGACTCTTAATAAATGCACTTTGACAGTTAAATCAGCTGCAGCAAAATGAAGCTGATTTGGTTGCTCCAGGCAGACGACGGTGGCAGTCTACGGCAAGCCGTTTGTTTCATTAATAGTCACTTTTACCTATTACATGATACAATAGCAAGCCTTACTACTCGAGTGCCATCTAGTGGCTGAAAATTGCAGTGTTCAATTTTTTCAGTCAGAATGAATGAAAACAGTCATATCTCAGACAAAAACTGGTTTATAAATATGGGAAAAAATCCATATATACACGTCGCTTTGGCCTATAAGTCGCAGGGCATGCAAATTATGCAAAAAACCTGTGACTTATACAGAGAAAAATACGGTAATCAATTCATAATCAATGGAGGGTTGTTCCATCTTTCTTTGTGAAAAACTGAAAACATATTTTCTTTTCTCCTGTAATGTCAACAACTGCCTAGAAATGTTTTATGGAGGCCATCAAAATCTGTTAACTGCTTGTATGAACTGTAGTTTAAATCAAATGGCCTGGCACAGGCAGAAGACGGACTGGTGTTCTCCATCTATATGTGTCTAAAAGCAATTAGTGGCTCTTGGAGCCTGGGTGAGTTTTTCAAAGCCTGTAGCTGAGGCTTGGGCTTTCCTTTGTGCAGGGAGAAATGCCCCTCGAGGACATTGAGTTACAAACACAGTAGAAAGGGTGTTATTTTTTCAAACTAGTTTCTTTCATTCGATTCTTCCGATTGACATGAACCCACACATGCTCTTGGGGATTGGAAGTTACACAGTGTCAAAAGGCACCAGCTTTAATCCATGATTCCTTCTTGTTTTCTTTCTGGAGAGTGTGTGCAATGTTGTTCAGACAAGAGAGGCAAAGATGTTTGTGCTAACAGAAATTCCTTTGGGGTCGTCAACTGGGGGTTCTAGTGTCCTCCCACCCACAGCCCATTAACAAGGCACCTTGACTCTCCCATGTGGGCTCTGCAAAACATCTGGAGTTATGTTTGTTGTGTTGAATTCAAAAGACCTTGTTCCCTTTTCAATAACTGGCTGACAGTGATTCGTGCTAAGGTAGCAAAGTGAATTAATGGTTAGAGCTGTCTGCTCAAAGAAAGACGTTTCTTGTTTTGAATCTCATCAAAAGCTTAAGTTTTTACATGGACTTTTTCTAGTTGTAAAATTACTTTATAATACCATACATCCATCCATTATCTTTTACCCGCTTCTTCCATTTTTGGGTCACGGGGGTCACCAGTGCCCACGTCCATCAATCACTGTGCCAGGAGCGGGGTACACCCTGGATGGGTCTCCAGTCCATTACAGGGACACATAGAGACAAACACCATTCACTCTCTCACTCACACCTAGGAACAATTTAGAGTTACCAGTCAGCCTAACATGCATGTTTTTGGTCTGTGGGAGGAAACCGGAGTACCCGGAGAAAACCCACGCATGCACGGAGAGACCATGCAAATTCCACCCAGAAGTCCCTGGACCGGGATTTGAATCAGGGACCTGCTCGCTGAGAGGCAGCAACTCTACCAGTTGCGCCACCGTGCTGTCCTACTTTATAATACATTATACTTAATTATATCTTATCCTTTAAGTAAGTAGTTTTGGATTCAGTGTTCTCCCAATACTTTATCTCGTTCTCAGTTGTGTGTCTCTCTGTATTAACCCCACTTGGACTGGTGATCTGTCCATGAAGGGCTCTAGGTCTCAACCTGTATTTGCTGAGATCTTCACCTCACAACCCTGATCAGTTCGATGCTGAAAGAAAAAAATGGATGACTCAAAATATACCTGCTGCAACAGGGTACACAAATGCAGTTGTTGTTGATTTTCAAGAACTTCTATTAACAAGCAAAATGAAAGAGTGACGAGAAGCGGTCTACTTGTGTGCTGATTACTCTGGGCATTTAATAATCCATCCATCCTTTTTATCTGCATCATCCTTTCTAGGCCACAGAGGTTGCTGTTGCCCACTAGCAGTCACTTTACAAGAGACTGGGGACACCCTGGACAGGTCCCAAATTAATCACAGAGACAGAGACAAACAAGACAAGGAACCACTCACTCTCACTTTCACCTAGGGACAATTTAGAGTTACCACTCAGCCTAACATGCATGTTTTTGGTCTGTGGGAGGAAACCAATGCACCGGGAAAACCCACGCATGCACAGATAGAACATGAGAACTCCATTCAGAAAAGCTCCCAGCAAGGATTCAATCCAGCAACCTTCTCACTGAGAGGCTGCAGCTCTAACTGTGCTACTGTGCAACCTGCACAGAATCACGTTTGAGCAGTTGGAACAGTTTCAGATGTCAATACAGAATCAAAATGCTCTAACGTCACAGCTGCTCAAGTAATTTTGTCTGTTATAACCAATAACTTTCAAAGTAACTGAGGAAACCACATTACAAGAAATGTCATTCAAAACAGGAAAGTGATTAAACCAAAGCCACCCCCCCCTGTTTTTTTTTTTAATTTATTGAATTTACAACCCCGTGCACATGAATCTACAAATTCTAAGTGTACTTGACTCACAAAAGGTTTCTGGTTTTGGCTCTGTGGTTCTATGGCCACCAGTTTTATACTCACCAGATGATCTTGGCTGCTTCTGTTTTGGTGCAGCTGGACTCGCATGGCAATTTGCCACAGACAGCAACGAGGACAAGAGAAGAAAACGACACAAGAAAAATAATAAAATGGACTTTTCTTTTCCAAATTTGGAAGCTAATGAATATGTTTTGTCAATTTTTCAAAAGTCAGACATTTTCTATTCACACAACTAATATGTTCACAAAGTAGCAATACAGTATTGTGAGCAATCAATCCTCAACTCGGCTGGCTTTTGGTTGGTTACAGGGAGCAGCTGAGCACAGAGGCAAGATTAACACAAGGCCTTTTTCACGTTAGCTGTAATCGTCTGTTGACCGCTGGGATCAAAGGTCACGGTGGACTCCTGGAAGTCTGAGGGGAAAATGGTCTGCTGATAGAATGCTGGCCTGCACTGCTCACTTCAGGCGTCAGAACAAACTCTCTTCTAACCCCTTTCATTTTTTTTTTCCAGTCCTCCACTTTTTTCATTATGTTCAAGTCTCTCCCGCTTTTGTCTCTTTCCCTCCTCCTTGTCTGCCTTTTCTTTCCAGTGAAAAACCAAGGATAAAAGGCTGGGGGTTAGAGGGTGGAAGGCCAGCTCATTACTGACTTTTGGTGCGAGCAGCCGTGCACACATGGCTCCACTGACACAGCCTAATTACCTGACCGGGGGATAGATTGTTCTTTTCAGTCATAATCAGGGCCAGATTGGGTCCAAAGCTACAGAGAGCAGCCTGGGTGGGGAGTTAAGTCCCTGTTTTTTTTTATACCAATGGGAAAACTCTTCGATAGACACGCTGATGAGCTCAAATGTGTGTGTGTACTTACATGTGTGTTGAATCTATACTTCATCCATTTGGAGCCCACACCCTGGCTCCACCTGTGCCCAGCTGTCTGTGCGTGCTCCTTAAATTTGCTGCCACTTGATTTTAAAACAGGCACTCCACTGACTCAATCAGCAGCAGATGTGATGAGCTACACACAACTTCCTGTACGGCTGCGTGTGAAGTGCTCCGGTCTTTCCAGCCAACTTGTAATGGCTCCACTTTGCTGGTATGCGCTGAGTTTCTAACCTGTCACCAGCACCAGCATGGTGCGAGGCTTTCCGCTTTGGCAGCTGAGTGAGGATCCCTATTTGGCTCACTTCCACTTGCTACCCGTTGTCCCATTGTGTGCTTTTGGGAGTTATAACGTCACACATCACAGCGTTATCTTTTATCCTCCACGATGATGTCTCCAGAGAGCAAAACTGGATCTTTTAAATAAGATTCCTAACAAGCTCAAAAGAAGGAAATGGCAATTCATTAAGATTGTGCACCGCCACTATACTGTTTGACAACTGCTACTCTCCCCTGGGAAAAATTATTACAGCTTAGCTTTAATATAGCATCTGACTGCACTACTTGTTAAACTAACAGTGGAGACACTCCACTAAACAAGAGCCAAGCCTCTCATGTGAATGTTCGAACATAAGAATATCCTCACAATCTGATGTATAGCATTCACCTGCCAGACACGGCATGAAAATGGCGCAGCTGTTCATATGTGCTGACAAATGGCAGGTACTGGAAGGCCACAAGCTTTCTAAAAATGATTTGAAAGCTATTTTCAAACATGTATCTGGAGCAAACCGCTAACAGTGGGGTGGTAAATGGTGCACAGGCTACAGCAATGTCTTGTGTTCATCTCAAGGTTGCTGCTGATTGCAAAATGTTTGCTTGCATGCTTGTTTTAAAAAACAATTTAGCCTCGATTCATTCAATTTCTCTTGCTAAACCCACAGAACTGACCCTTGTCAGCTGGTATTGATCATGGTCCAATAGAATAAAATAGCATCTCTGGTGGGGATTAACCTTTTGTGTGAATGGTGACGCCAGCTGAGGTGCTGTCCCAGAACTGGTGATTGGCTTGTACGATTAGCTTGTTAAACATTTTGTGTTAATTTTGGTGAAATAACTCAAACACTTTAGGCTTCTTCACTTTATTCATAAGCTTCATTCTTTGTTTTAACCATACATGGAAATAAATTTCCCTCAAATAGAAAATAATATGTAAAGTGCTTACTTAATTGGAATTATGTGGGGGTTTAATTGCATTAAAGCACCTGATTACAGTACTCCCAGTTTACTTTTTAAGAAGGCAGAGTGCATTAGAAAGACTATTTTAAAAACAACCCTGGAGGCTACAAAGTAATCACCAAAAATCTCAAAATACCAATTTTAGCACAGCCATAAACCTGTTAAGATGCTTCTGACATGTGACACAAAAATAACTCGGTGAGATAAGGCTGCAAGGTGCCAGCACGCACATACACACTCTGCAAAACACAGCGAGAAGAGCTTCAGGCTGACCCAGAGCTATGTGGACCAAAGCTTCCAGTCTACGTCATTCTCTGCACACAGTAAGGTTCAAAGAAAAGCACTAAGAGGCAGGCCAAATGTTTGTATAACCTTTAAAGATTTGACCTTCTTGTAAAACACTCTTTATATAGTAAAGACCTAACAAGAGAGTCACAAATATAATTTAGTGAATAGAAGACCTTGAATACAGCAGAACAGGGTGGTGGTCTTCCCATGATGTGAGGTTAGTTTGCTGCCATTATCAGTTGTAAGGATCCAGGTTAAAGCGGCTTATTTCATCAGTTGTTGTGGCGATTCATATTTTTCACCTTAGAAACAAACAAACGAAGCATGAATTTGAATATTCATTTTAGGTGATGACTATTGTAACGTCAGTGGATGAGTGGAAGCATGTGGGTGAGTCGATGCTGTGACAATAGCAATAAACTAAAAACTTCCAGCAATGTTCGTAAAACTTGTTGGGCTGCATCAAATGTATTCTCAGCGGGTCATAAATGTTTTAGATACCTTGCTTCAAGGACATTAGTAACAACTATAAATCTGTACAAAGTGCTTTAGCGAGTATCTTTGGTGTGAGGAAACCATAGCTTTGACATGGACTGAAACAAATGTGGCACACCCTTATTCCTGTTCAGTTAGCTGTCTTACAGAACAGGGTGTGCTAGTGTACAATATGTACAATTCACATAACTCCTAAACATTTGGCCCATGCAACACAAATGAGAATTGATTTTTACCCCATTTGAAAGTCACTCTCAGACCGTAAGACTCAACCTACACCAGTGCCAAATTAGCCATGGAGGTGCAGATATAATGGGGTACAGAGTGAGTTGAATCACCAGTGATTTAATTGCTAATTAAATGAGGGATATTGCTTAATTACAGTATGTTACAACCAGAGCAACCTTGTGAGTGTTGCCAGAATAAATGAATGGTGCAGCATCCATGCTGTCCTGTGGGGAGCTCTTTGCTGTGGATACTGCTGACTACCACTAACTGGTATGGTCTGCAGCAGCTGCCCATCCATCTGTAGCAAAGGAGACCAGAGAGGGGGGAGTAAAGGGTGGGTGGGCAGGACCAGTTTAAGCTGTCTTATCTCTGTATCCATGTGTCAACAGGCCTGCGGTTTGATGGGGGATTCAGAAAGTGATGTCACAGCCTCGGAGGCCTCTGTCACCACCATGACAAACACCACCAGCAGCAGCAGCACCCTGGCGCCCTGTCGACTGGGGGGCTCCAGCCAAGCAGCACTTCCAGCACCCATAACCGCTGCATCCACCTCTCCCTCCTCATCTGCAGCTGCCTCCTTCTTCATTAGGTAAGCACCTCGCCCATACAATCAAATCACAGGAAGGCTGTCAAAATGTACGATCAAACTGTAGTACCAAACGTGTTTGCATACACACCTACGGGCTTCTGTTTGTGTGCATGGAGAAAGCTGAAAAGATATGCACAGACTTGCCTTAAAACGTCTACCGAAGATTACAGTTCATGGTGTTAGCCTCAGTGCGGGGTATTTGCCTATTCAGTGGAAATGTTGTTCTTGCCATGCTTGAATTATGGCATGCTATGGGATGCACATTGCGGGACTAAATGAACCTTTAGTTACAGGCACCAGTGCCCTTGAATGAATGATAGAAATACACAACATGATACGAGGAGGCAGTAAGTCACGAAAGGGGCTTAGGTTAAAGCCTGGTATTGTCCTAAGGTATTTAGTTATTTTTTCATTATTTTTACTCAAATATAAAACCACCCTGAAATTCCAATACTGTTACAAATTGATGTGACTGCAGTTTAGTAATTCTGATAAGGACATTGTGTATCTTGGGCTCGGAGACTTAGTGCTTCTTGGCTCTGGTATTGTTGCCCTGGAGAATCCTTCGCCTGCTCCAGGCTGGTGAAATGTGCTGTACTGTCATTGATAGATTCTCTGGCAGCCCAGTCAGTGCATACATTCCCTGTCCCCGAAGAGTGCTGTAATGAATGTTGGTGAGAGCGGAGCTGGCTGAAGAGGGATGCTTGGGAGCATTGAAACCTCTGCACCGCAGGAGGTGGAGGAATCCAGCAAGGGAACTTGTGGAGTGTGACAGGAGGCCCATGGGGGATCAGTTTGGAGCTAAGCCTTCCTTTAAGCAGCCCAAATACATTTTGTCTTTCCAGTTTTCACAGGGTCATCACATATCAACGAGACCATGAGTCCCCTCCTTTGACTGAGGGGATAATCCAGATCCTCCACTCAACATGCAACTTCCTTCTTGTTTCCTTTCACAAGAGCAGTGGGTCTAAACACCAATTAGGTGCATTTTGCAGGAGGGTACATTTCTGACAAAGATTTGTTTAGCTTGATGTTTTCTTTGGATCTGGACTCAAAAAAAGAAGTGTAAAGAGACAGCTATCCAGTGAAAGGACATGTTTTCCTGAAACTCTAGGCCTTGGACTAGCTGAGGGTGTGTACACCTTATTTTTTGTACTCAAATGTAATTTGCTGCCAAGAATGCTGCATTTGACTTGGTTCAAAAACACAGTGGTCAAAGGGTCAACCTGAAGCAGCATCACAGCAGATACAGATGTTGTGCTGTCTTGAAGCACCAAAACCCTTTAACTGATGCAGCTGTTCCCTGCAATGGGCATTCTCACACTAGAATTATTGCATAAACGTTTATGAAGCATTCACACTATTGTGATCCATTTTTCTTCTGTGCGTTTGTCGGCATCTTTCTCATTTCAACATTTTTCAGCCTAATTCAGCAAAAATGTGCTCTCTCCACTTTTTTCTTAATTTAAGCTTTTTTCCCTGCTTTTTTTTTAGTTACTTTTCAGCTGCTTTTTGTGCTAATTTCAGATTTTGTTATAATTTCCACTTCTTTGTTCTCATTTTTGTTTCTTTCAGCATATTTGGGCAAACATGTTCTTTCTGCTTTCTTCCGCTAATTTAAGTTTGTTCTTTCTTTTCAGCTAGGTTTTTAGCATTCTAAGCTAATTTCAGCTGTTTTCAGATAAATTCAAGTTTTTCATGTTATTTTCTGCTACTTTCAGCCTAATTAAATTATTTATGCTAATTTCAGCTTGTTATGCTCTTTCAGCTTTTTTCAGCTAGTTTCAGCTTTTTCTGCTCTTTCAGCTACTGCTTTGCTGTTTTGATGCTAGCCTTAGGTTTTTCAGCTAATTCCACGTCTCTTGAGCTTATTTCAGTTATTTTTACTTCCTTCCTGTAGTTTAAGCTCCTTTATGCCTTTTCGGCAATTTTTTGTTGCTAATTTCAACCATTTTTTTGGGCCAATTCCCTAATTTTTGTGCTTATTTCTGCTTATTTAAACATAATTCAGCAATTATTTGTTCTTTCTGATGTCTTCTGCTAATTTAGAGTCAGAGATTCTTTATTGTCATTTGCACCTCATGTGGTACATTTGATGGAACGAAATTACGTACACAGGGTCCCAGTTACATCCAACAATAAAATGTAAAAGAAAAACAATGATAACATCCAAGATATTAACTAAAAAAAACTAATTAAAAACTTAATTTTGGCTTGTTCTTCAAATTCAGCTACATTTCAGAATGTTTAGCTCATTTCAGCTGTTTTTCAGCATGTTCTTCTGCAATAAGCATTCACATTGCATTTTCGCAGGAAATGCAATTTCTCTAGCTTTTGTTGTTTTTATATATTTGTTGACTGAAATAAACCCCCCCCCTCTCAAACAATAAATAAATAAATGAATAAATAAATTTATGAAATATCTAAATCAATCAACAGTGTTTTGTCCAGTTGTGCTTCGTTTAGGGACAGCAAATTGGTTTGAATTATTGTTTGTCATAGTTCAGACGTGATTGAAAATCCATATCTGATTAGTATTCTCCTTTTGTTCTCCGTAGATTCAATTAGCAGCTTGAATGTGTAAATCCTGATAGACCCCGAAACGTAGGAGCAGAATAACCAAACAGCAAATTTTACCCCGGCGGAGTAGAGAAGGCTCTTTAGACACATGTCTGACATTCACCAACATCATTTCCCTCAGAAATGTAATTTTAATTAGAATGCAATTAGTGGGAGTTCTTTTTCTGAAGAACGAAAAAAAAAAAGGAGTGTAATCAGCAAAAGATTCAACATTTAAGTTTTAATTTAAAAAATAAGTCAGCCAAAACCACTTTTTGTGAAGGCATTTCAATTATTTCATTTAAAATGCTCACTGGGTTGTAAAATAATTTCAGTAAAAAAGTGTCAGCTTGATAACCACGAAGGTCAGAGTCGATTTCCATTCAGAATGTTGCTTCTTTAAATAACTCTGTTAATTTAAAAAGGACACTTCTGGTTATTCATAAAAAAAATAAACGTTGACATTTCAGTTTTAACAATATTTACTAGAGAAAATGTATAAGATTAAAAACATTAACATCAGGGTCGTAAAATGTGCTCGATAATAGATTGTTAATGTTATTTATGGGGATACAATATTAATAGGAATGAACTAGTCATTAATTTAAGAGGTCAAACTCCTCATTTTGCTCACATTATTTTATTTGATTTATAACATGACACAGATACCTCCGAGGCTGTGCAGACAATTTGAAACTAAAATGCTTGTAGTCACTAATTCCTGCATGTGGGACATTTTTTACAGTTAAAGAAATGAATAATGTGACACATCTGTCGGTGAAAAGTACACTGAATGCATTTTTTAAAAGATATCTCTTAAATTATTGCTCTTGTTTTAATCTGCTTACTTTTCTTGTAAATTTATGGAAACCAAGATGACCTCAGGGTCAGAAATGACCAGTTGGCAATTAGACTAACTATGCAGTCTCAGGGAGACAGGACGAGTCAGGGGTCATGCTCCGATCTGATGGAGTGTGTGTCTGCATATCGTTAAGTGTGCAGGCCTACATCAGTGTCTTTAGAGGTGTGTGTGGGGTTGTAATGAATTTAGAGCCATGTGTTCAGCTGACTTAAGCACTGATTGCCTTGTGACAGAGCATATGATTAGTGTATTGACACGGAGTTGTGTAATGAACACAGGCTGAGCTCGCAGCAGGGGTGAGACGGTGAAGCTAACTGCCTCCTCGCAGGTCCTTCTACCATCTCTCTGTTCCATCAACACCTGCTGATTGTGATGGTGTGTTTAATAAGAACGGAGCTTGTGGGATTTCTCTGTGCACACTGCCCGGGGGAGTCCACTGCTCAGTTTGCAACCTAGTTAGATCAACAGCTTCAGCTCTGCACAGCAAGACAGGTATTTTTTATTGCTTATTGATAGTCCCTTGTTTATGTGTGTTTGGAGGGGTGGTTAGTCCATTTGTCACTTTGCTTCCTCTCACTGATCAGACCCTGGAGATGGATGATTTACTAACTCTGATGATATAGAGAAGTAAAAAACAACCCTGAAGAGTTTAGAGGGCTGCAGAGACAAAGGTGTCATATAGGCGGGTGGGCTTTTGCAAAGTTAGGGAGGACAGCTGTTTGCTGGAATGTGCCCCTGGAGGAGTGCGAGGAGGAAGTTTGGTTTTATGATCACCCATCTCTGCTTTGCAGCTGCTGCCCAGGTGAGTGTGTGCAGTAATGACTGTGATTGTGCAGGAATCCTCTTGTAATGGTGGCAGCAGGGCCATTTAGCCTCAGTTTTCCTGCACTCACAAGACCCTGCCTTTGTGTCAGCATCGCTCACTCTGCCCTTCATCCCCCAGGCAGCTCCGAGTAACCATAGAAACGTGTGATTAGCTTGTGGGAGTAAAACGCCACTGATTTTTCGTTTTAAAAGTGGAGAGCGCAAATCAGGAAGTTGGACTAGCCCACTCCACTGGACTGTAATTTTTTATCAGGGGGCGGGACAAGCATCTCTTCAAAAAGGAGTCCTGCATGTTGAAAAATGAAAGCACCGCAGGATGACAAGTGCCTGATTAACACATGTTGGAAAACTTCCTAACGTCTATTGTCCACTTAGCTGTATTGTGTGGCTGTTAATGAATGCAACTGAGTTCATCCTGTTTATTAGTAAAGGAAACAGGGAGGCAAACATGCACGGACAGGGGAAAAACAGTTGTTCTATTCTCTTACAATGCAGGGACAACCCTTAGAGAGGCTCAACACAAGGCTGTGTTTGGTCGCCTGTGCTGTGATTGACAGCAGGAGTCTCACTCAGTGACAAATAGCTGAATAGATTACATGGAGCAGAGGGGTCCACTGATTTAGCCCACATAGCAGGAGGATAAAGACACAGAGCAGGCCAGGAGCTGCCTGGGATGAGTGTTGTTCAAAAGTTGAGCTTAAACTGATGCTCCTCTCTGAGAGCATCAGGAGTGGGAGGTCTGTGTCTGTGGAGA